GGTTAGGGGTTTTTTTCCTACTTTCTGAGCTAACCTTGCAGACAGACATGCCAAGGACCTCCATGAAGCCATTGAAGATCCACTCCCAGTTATATTCCTGAACATCATATGAGCTGTGGCTCCTCTGAATGACACAGAGTGGGCACAGTGTGGTTATGGTATGTCAGGTGATGAACAATAGTAAAAGAAAGATGTTAATCTAAGCAAGCCCATTCCCACACCTGACAGTAAAGGGCAAAATACAGAAAGCTGTGAAAACAGCCACATCCCGAATGTGAAGGACCTTAGCTGCTGGTGCTTAAATAGGTAGCCTGCCATGACTGCCTGAAGCTTAATGCATGACTAGGTACCGTTTACATGCAACATTACAGCTGTGATGCTGTTCTTTTTCTTCTAGAAGAGGGCTTAGCTGTGACTGTTATGCAGTCATGAATGAGCAGAGGAATATGGTACAAACCACACAACATATCTGCACACAAAATATTTAGTAGGAATGGTTTAATGCCTGCTTCTCTTGATTGCTGCCTATCCAAGCTCTGAGAGACATCACAGGCTTTGGGCTTTGCAGCTTGTTATATAAGTCCTTAATAACTCAAAAATAAGTAATATGAAACAATCAGTGCAACTTATTGTTAGGGTGGCTTCCAGTATGTGCATCAGTTGTATAAAATAACAGCTGGGTGAATAATGCAAAATTTATACTTAGATAATCTGTGCTTAGGAGCAATTTAAAACAGAGAAAACAGGACTAGAGTGGGCTCATAGAGGGATAGGAAGGTGGAAAAGAATCTCTTTCTGTTTTTTCCTCTGGTCCTTGTAAAACTGTGACTCCAGGGAAATTTTGCTTTGCTGGAGAAATCATTCCTTTGAATGATGGTCTTTCTCCGCCAGAGAAGCTGAAAAAACAAGATAGTTTTCTTCCTTTCTTCCATCCCTTCAGCCATGCTGGGTAGTTGGGCAAACAGAGCACAGTGCTCTGTTCTATATTTTGAAAGCATGGGAGAAATTTCCTATTGCGTTTCCATCTAATAAGGGAACTCTGGGAACTAAGCAGACAAAACACCTAGCAGCAGGCTTGCTAGAGCAGATAGCACCAGCTCCTTTAACATCCTGCCTCCCTGAAAGAGCAGTGCCAAAAAGGCAGTCTGCCCCACAGCTCATGAGCTACATGATTATTTTCAGCTGCTGTTACATCACTGTCTTCTATAAAAATAATTGAGAACTACAGCAGAAAAGTCAATGGCTCTAAAATGGCCAGGCTGACAGAAGACTGAGTCCAGAGGAAACATCATGCTGCATGACAAAGCATCTCTGTAGTCTCCGGCATGCTTAAACGCAGTCATTTTCACCATCAGGAAGTAGAATATGAATATTTCCTATCCTGTAAAAAGCCCCTTAAAAATAAAATCACTAGCTCTATCTCGTGCATTGCAAGCTTTCATCTTAAATATTTCTAGTTTTCAGCTTAACTATTTCTAGTATGCTGGATTCAAAACTTAGACCCTCAGCTTTCATTTCCTTTGACCATAGCAGCAAGTTTCTTGTGTTGATAGTAAACAACGGGGGCTTTGAAGCATTTTTTCTGCTTTGTGTTTATATAACTTTTAAACCATTTCTGCTTTGGATATATTTTGTTTCTCTTTATTGCAAGAAAGTTTCCACAGAGTTGCAGTTTATTAACTGAAAAGTGGTGAAAAATTTTTCATTGCAGCAATACTTTTCAGTGCACAATACAAACCCCCTAAGATATTTCATCAACAGTGCTAGTGCATTTTTGTAACTTTAAGAAGTAGTTCTGAAAACAAAACAAACCCACTAACCATCTTAGCAGAAAAAGTAAGCCAATTCCAATGGCCTCCCAGAGAAAACAAAAATTAAGAATATAGCATCGTATGCTTGATATTTAATTACTCTGCTAATACACTTTACATTGCATGATTTTGGACAATTTCAGATGACTGCTTCTGTTACGTTAACTTTCTCTTCCCAGAACTCCTGTGGTTTTAGTGAGGTATTAGAGGGGAAGCAGTTTATTAACAGTTGTGTATAACCAGAGCTGTAGGATAAGAATGGAGGTGGGAGCGCAGAAGACAGTAGGGGAAGAGTCACTTGTGCCTCAGGTGTCCACCAAGAGCTCCTGGCAAGGACCAGGAGGATGAGAGAGGTGTGTTTTTCAAGACTCTTGGCGTTCAGGGGGTTGCAGGACTGTGAGGCAGAGGACAGGCACCATTCACTTGCTGAATCTGAAATGCTGGTCCTAGTCTCAAGTGCAAGATCAAGATGTCCAGCACCGTTTTATCAAACCCTTCTGTCTCTGGAGTTTCAACAACTTCCACGTCCTCTGACAAAAGTACCACCCGTGCTTACCAACCTCACTTACTCCTCACCCCAGAGCTCAATGTGTAAGTGCAGAGAGGGTTAGCAAAACTTATTCCCACCTTTCCCTCCAAAAAAAAAGACAAATCAGTTATGTCAGAACCCTGCAAAAGAGCAGGGCTCCAGGGGTGGGCAGAAGTAGAGGGACAGGTGGTTTTACATTTTCCTGAGGGCCCAAGAGATGGAGAGGGCTTTCATTACTTACTGGGAGAAGCTCATTAAGTCAGGGCAGTAAGGAAGGAATTGGGACAGACAGCAAACTTTGCAACCCAATCTGCAATGACAGAATCAGAGAATCATAGAATACTTAGGGCTGGAATGGACCTTAAGATCATCTAGTTCCAACCTCCCTGCCATGGACAAGGAGACCTCGCGCTAAACCATGTCACCCAAGGCTCTGTCCAACCTGGCCTTGAACACTGCCATGGATGGAGCATTCATAGCTTCCTTGGGCAGCCTGTTTACAGCTCAGCATCACTAAGTACTAAAGCAGTAAGAGCAGAGTGACACAATCAAGTTGCTTATTAAAAAATAAAAATTTAACAGCTTTGGGTTTCATGGAAATGGCATGGATGTGGCCTCTTGTACTGCTGTGCTTCAGCAATGAAAATACCATCAAGAGCAGGTTTTAGTGCTTCACAGATTGATTTATTTCTTTTTCCTTCAGCTGTCCATCGAACTTTGCTCTCTAATGGGGAGAGAACAAGGCAAGTTAGTGAAATAATCTGAGCTGCTGAGGTGAGAAAGTTGCAAAGCTGCAGTTAATAGCATAGTTTCAAGGGACACACTGATATGCTGTGGACATTATGCAAACACAGAGGCAAGCAACAGTGGACTGAAAACTTATACTCTGAAAACCAGGGCTAAGAAGGAATGAAAGAAGACTGCAGGATGAATTACGTATTTGTTTTTAAATAAAACTTACTGAGCAGCACGTCCTCCTTTAGCATTATTGATAGTGGCACAGAAGTGGTAGTTCCCTACTTTGCAGGCTACAGAGGGGGTAATGAGCTATTATGGTGGGCTTTTTACATCTCCAGGACTTGTTTCTTACCCTTCTGCCTCTTGAGACAGGAATACACTTTACCTTGTAATGTTTTCACTTGTGCTTGAAATTTAGCCAAGAAAAAGCAGCCTAAATACAATTAACTAACTCATCATTCTTTTGGCTCTTTTCAAAAAACATCAGTGTGTATTTTCTTGTTCATTTAAAATGTTGTTTTTTGCCCAATATATTCAATGTAATAGGAATAGTACTGAAAGTTGAGATGAGACTGGCTATTTAGTATGGCCACAATAAGAGAGTAGTAACACTGCAGGAAGGAACATTAAATTAAGCAATAAACTGTGCTTTAATGATACTAATGCTAGGAAGACTCTCAATTAGACCTGACTAAGTGTACATACACTTAGTGAGCTGGAAGACTGGCACCCCTATGGGCAAACCTGACAGACTTCTGAACTGGGTGTTCACTTGTCTCAGAGACCAGTTAGGAGACACATCAAAGAAAAATAAAAATCCCACAACACTAGAAGACATCTTCTCTGTGGTGCAAATGCTTTTTATTAATAATGTGAAAACAAGCTATTAGTTACAAACATTTGAGGTCAAGGTGACCTATATCAAAGGTGTAACCCAGGGACAAGAGGATTTATTAAGAAAGTAACACCATTCCAAAACAAGGAACTCTTCTGCTGGCTTCTCGACCTGAACATTGCTGGGAACATAGGTAGTCTGAGGGAGTGGGCCAGAATCTGGCATGGAGGTTTTGGCTTTAAAGTGTGACAACAGTGTATGCTCTCCTGATCTCTGTACCAAACAGAATCTTTATCTTGGCTCTGAGAGTCTGCCAGCAGACCTACTGAAAGCAGGTGATACAACCTGCTCTGTATTAGCTCTGCCTGCTCCACTTAAATGTTAGCTGGTTCCCACTCTTTAGCACCAAGAGGATTAGCAAAGACCTATACATGGTACAAAGATCTTGATGCAAGCAAGCTTGAGGAAATCTCAGTTTGAAAAAAGTACGTTAAAGTACCCTAACCCTAACCCTAACTTCTACTTTTGTATCATTTAACAGATAGTAAAGTTAGGGAACATGACGTAGTAATCTGTAAAATTTTTAATTCATGATTGCTGTACGTTCCATGAGATTTCTTAACCAACAGCCTAGAAATTATACTGCTTTTCTGTCCTGATCTTAAAAACATAGGGGCACCCGACAGAGGATAAATGGAGTTTACGGTTATTTTTGCTGCCCACATTGTGCTAGGTAGGTCCACTGCTGTGCCAAACAAGGTAATAAATGACATGGAGCAGCCTATATATAGTCTGGAGCCACCCCATAGTGGTAGCCAATGACCATCATGAAGTTCTGGCATTTGAGCGCTTTCACCTTAGCAAATACAAAAAGGATCTATTTAACTGCTAAGTCAGACATTTTGAGTAACAAGTGCAGTCTGGGAACACTCAGCGACATGGCAGGGAAGAGAGGGGCTAGATTCTTCACCAAAAAAAACGCAAAAAAACAATTAAAAAAATCATTCAAAGTGGATTTCATTCAAACAACTTCAGAAAAATTTTCTTCAATTATCTTGCAGAAGCCTGGTGTTGACCACAGGCTAACACCATTTACCCTTCGTTGTATATGCTGAGATACAGCACAGCCATTTAGCAGACTGCTTACTGGCACAGTCATGCATTTAGGATTCTACTGTCATAAGAAAAAGAATTTAAGTCACTACAATTACCTTGCAAAAATCTCATAATTCCTAAGATTCAAGATAGGTGTATGTGTATTTCACACACTGATCTCAGAATAATGATTTATTTCATACTTTTTCTTTTGTGCAGTGATTAGTTTTTTCACTGTTAACATCTGATTTATCTGAACTTCCAAATGTAACAGTTGGCAGATTTATTAGTGCTCACAGAATAAAGCAGGAAGCAGAACACAGATTAATTTTAATGTTTCAAAAGGCCTTTTAAAGAGGTATTATTACTGCTATGTTGCAGTCAGGTGTTTTTTTTCTTGTTATTACATTGTTATATCCATGTTGTTAGAACATTTTTTCTATTTCCTAAAAAAATTTCAAACTTAAGATTTCTAAGACTGGGCCTTGCATGAGGGGAGATCTTCAGATCTTTCAATCTAGATACAAGTTGAGGGCCTAGACTCAGCTAGCATCAAGCAGTCCAGCTGATTTGATCATGGTATAATGATGCTGATAAAAGATCTGGCCCAACCGCATGTTTGAAAAGCTGTATATCATGAAACACACGGAGTTTAATAGTGGCTACATTAATCCCTGGTAAAGAAATGCTGAAGCCTAGTGAACGCGATACAATTTTGGGCAGGTTGGCAGATTGCATCCTCCTTTCCAACTACTGCACCGTCCCATAACATCTCTCAAAGTGCTCTGCTGAAAACCAGTATATATGCCAGTATAAAGCCATGATGTTTGTCACTGCAAGATGAGTATTTTCAACTATGTGTTTCTAATTAACCCAAAAGCATTTTCAAGTAATTTAAGTGTTATCTTACAGATTTAGAGAAAAGCAAAACATTAACATAGTATAGTTATTGAATAAGTGGGGGAAAATATGAAAATTCAAAGATCATAAATTCAAGACAGAAACCAAACCGTGGCAGAATATTAGACTACCTCTCTGCCTCTAAATTCACTCATGACTTGAACAGGATGGATTCTTTTCTTTGCAGAACCTTTCCTGACAGCCGCATAGATTTCTTCTGGCTTCTCTCTTTTAATTAGGGGCTTCTTCTCTGGAGCCTTCATTCTCCACATGACAACAGGATGTCGTGGGCCAGTAGGACTCTGAATCTTGATAATCTTTGTGGATGCAATATAGGACATCTTCACTGTCTGTACCACAGCATTCATTAAATTTTTGGCTGCCTGAATTAATGAAGTGACGCTATCCAACTGTAAGAAGAAACAGAAACATTAGCCTAGGAAGCCAGTCTGCTTTTAAATTCAATATGCTCAGGAATAAACAACAGTTAAAAAGTAAGGCTACCATACCAAACCCTAGCTTCTTTGTTGTCCCTTGGTGTGTTTATATTCATGTTCCACAGCTCAGACTTAAAGTGATACACAGAAATTTGTGCTGGTGGAATACAAATGCTTATGTAGATAATGTTTATTCTTTTTTTAAATGTGAATTTATGGTGCTTGTCTGCAGGGTCTCATTGCTGTTACTACTGATGAGTTATGAAACCAGCTCAAAGAGCTATGAAAATGTGATCCATTACTTCTTTTGTATCAGCACTAGGCAAAGTCTCCAGCTGCTGCTGTCGCATTCCAGGCTCTCACACTCCTGAGCAATGCTGAGATACTGTGAAGTGGCTGGTTTTATCAAAGCTGTTAAACCTAGTCTTAGCTGCCAAAAAATTTAAGGGTAATTATGAGCCAGATAGCACACAGAAATCACAGTAACTTTGTGGCCTCTCAAACTGTTTAAGGAGTGCCAGCCTAACAGGCAGAATGCGTTAACAAACTAATCCCTATCACCTACTATCATCTTCAACAGCATAATACGTATGCATACAAGTGCTAAAGCAAAGGCTTTTTCCCATCAATGCTCATAGAAATAGTGCATTTAATTAGATCTGAAAATCTGCTAACTGCAACAAAAATGACTGCTCTAACAAGAAATTTGGCTTTGCCATACTGCACTGTAGCATAATACAAGCAAACTCACCAATAGCACTGTTCCCTTCATAGATTTGAGGCCTGCAGACTCCAGCATCTACGGACTGAGAGCAGTGCGCTGGGGACATTACACTGTCCTAGTCACCTCCTCAGATGTGACTGGCATCACAGCTAGAGGCTAGTTACACAGTGCAGATGCTACGATCTTGGGAATTTTCACTTAGCAAAAACCAAGGAGAAGCACACGTGTATGACAAAAGGCCAATGCTGGATAAAGAACTGTTGCCTGTAACTGGCCATCAGTATTGTTCCAGCACTTGGAAATGAGCCTTCTTTTTTTATTTCTCCTGTGTCCCAAAACACAGACTGATAAGGCTTAGGCTCATTCCTTCAGAAGTAACAGGGACAACAGCTACATAAAGGGTGAGAAACTGGGTGGGCAGGGGGCAGGAGAGGGCAAGATCACTATGGTTTAGATGTAAAAGTAGTAGGATTACTCTATGTATTACTCTAGGAAATGTAGAACCTAGATTTCAACTTCTAAACACCCTTTTTGTTGAAGCATTTGCCTGTAAAAGCAGTGAAGCCAGTGCTGTAAAAGGGCCATCCATTTTAGTGGGACAGTCTTGCACTTTGTCATCCAGCCTGTCTTTTGCAATATGCAGGTTTGTAAACTGAGATTTTAGGAAAGGTTCAGGGTCTTCTCCCCTTTGCCAGGTCACATGAATTAATCAGGTAAGAAGAGTGTGTTATTGTCTGTCATGCTCATTGTGTAAGACTTTGCACACATACACCCATATTCAAATAAGGCAACAACAAAAATGCAAGGGACGGGATCTAGTCTGGAAACACCTCTGAACTGGCAGAAAAACCCTCCGGTTATTATCATGTTTACTGCTGCTCTCTGTAAGTGCGAAATAACCCTAATACCCTCCAAAAACTAAAATAACATGCACATATGTGTGATGACAAACTGAAATTATCTCTATACTCTGAGAAAAGGTGTAAAATTTACCAGATGGCCTCTAAAGTTCATTCATTTCTGCAGCTTGTGAGCTTTTTAAGAAGTGATTTGCACTGTATGATGGTCATGTAATCTTTCCATGGTAGTATTTTAACATAAGCTGGTAGGTATATTTGGGGCCTGTGATGTATAAACTTTACTTTGGGGAGCAGGCTGTCCAGCCACTCTGCTAAGTTCAGCAGTACAACATATTTACTGTCATATGATTCGACATGAAGTTCAAAGCACACGGCGACCTCCAACCTAAAGCTTATTTCAAATGCTGCTTTTAAACTAAACATATTAAAAACCTCCAGGCTGCCAGTAAGGTGTTTTGCTCAGAGGCTTTGTCATTACCCTCCTGATAGATCTTCAGTCTCCAGCATATCCGTTTTTCTAAGGAGGCTGCCTAGTGGTGCAGTGTTAGCACACTGGCACATGAGCTGAAGTTCTGTCCGGTTTTCAAGCTGCTGAATGTTCACTGTTGTAATATTTATTTATTTGGTTGGTTAGAAGGAATCAGAAGGGGAGACAGACCAAGTTTCATGTGAACTTTTTCTTTCATGCTAACCAGAGGATTATACACACAGGCACACGTGCATATGCATGTGTACATAGTCCCAAAATTTCAATTATCTGTTGTTTTCTAGAACAGCTGATGCCTCCATGATCCTGGCAGCTTCTTAAAGAGGCTTTGAATAAGCTTTTTTTATCCCTCAACAGTCAATATTGGTGGCATCATGCACACTTTTGTAGTATTGACTGTGTAATAACACTACTGTGAAGCTGCTGTAAACCAGCTGTAATCCTTCCACTTTTCTAAAGTTGCCTGGAGTTAAGAGTTACACTGGGATGAAATAAGTTTGCAGCTTCTACGTGAAATTGGTAGCAGCATCGAGGCAAGATAAAGGTTGTCCCAAAACTTCATCCAGTTTTTACTGTGACTGTAGTTTATACTGTGAAATATGGCTAATAAAGCAGAATATTTTCAGGAGACCATTACAACTTGACTTTCCTCTCCTGTGGAAACTGAACAGTTATCACCGCATTCTGGCATCTGTAGCTCCTTTCACAGAATGGCCGTGGCTGTGGAGCAGTCCACAGCTCCTTCACCACACCACTGTGATACTGTATTTTTGTTTATTAAACTATAATCATACATATACTGTAAACAAATGACAAATAAGCTTACTTAATGGGTCTCCAGTTCTGCTGAGGTTGGCATTACAAGGCTGTTTAATTTATGGATTTGGCTGTGGTTACTTACCATAGTGGCAGGGGTGGATGGAAGGTAGGTGGTATATGTCAGAACAGGCAGCAATCGCCATTAGTTTTACTTTGGTCTTAGCATCTCTGCATAGGCAATGAAATATAGGAAGACTTACATAATGCTGCGCTTTACGCTATCCATGTTATTTGCAGTGTCTTAGTATCCAGGTTCCCCCTCAGTTTTCTGGTGTTCACACTAATCTCACTTTTATACAGAAAATGTGACTATTAATGGGAGGGAGAGGGAAGCTATTTTTTAAACTGCATTCAAAATTTCAGAACTTTCAGAAGATGTTATTAGACATTTACCACAGATGGCAAGAGTCTGGTCATATATGTCATCTTTTTTTGTCTCTAGAGAGCAGCTGTTTTTACACTTCAATGCCACTAACATTATAGAGTTTGGTGTAAATCTGTTCTATAAATCTAATCTACTCAGGGACTCTCTTCACTTGGTTGCTTTTATCTCAGATATTCAGCAGGCTTTCAAGGTCTCATAATGTATCTAGGAAAACGGATGAAATGAAACTTGGCATAAATGAAAGACTGATAACGTATTCATTGAGCATTTAAGCTCATTTCATGTAGCTGCGAACTCTTCAATGTGTAGCAAGCGGTGCATAAAGATTCACCAGCAAAACAAACAAACAAACAAACAAACAAACCCTAAACTAAAAGCTGTTTTCTTTTTGGGTGACTTCCGCTTTGGCTCTTTTGGCACTTTACATGGAGACACAACATTCCCACCTCCATATTTCACAGATTTGACTGTGTCAGTCAAGACAGTATTTCATTAAAGGATTTAGGAAAAGCATCTTTTGCCATATCTTTCCTTATTTAAATGTCATCTATACTGGTTTACATTGCAAAAGAAACACAGAACAATTCCATAACCACTGTGGTGAAACACGGAAGATATAGAGCTAAAGGTAGTGGGTTTTTTTAAAAAACAAAAAAGCCCTGCCCAGCCCTTCTCTCCCCCAAAATCAGCGCTCATGCTGAAATTGAATCCCTCCTCTTCAACAGTTGCATTTCTCTTCTGTAATGAGTTCGGTGAGCAAGTAAATTAACTCCACTGAAGAGCAAAACTGAAGGGAGTTCAGAAAAAAATGAATTCTGAAACTTTATTTCCGATTTGTTTACATGTACCATATTTTTCCCATTTTTGTAAAATAATTTCATGTCTTGGCAGCAGTAACAATCCATTATTATAAGAAGTTTAAATATATGGTCAGTAATTTTTGTTTAATATTCAGAATGAGTAAGAGAACCATGATTTAGAATATTATGAAACTTTTCTTCTGTCAAAGTATTTTCTGTTCAGTGTACCAAGAAATGCTTGCCTTGTCAGGTGTCAGTAGGAGTTGTTTCTGTAGCAAGCAAATAGAGAATTTCCTTATTGTCAATGCCTGTAAATAAGTCAGTCTCCTGATCACATTCTTTGCAAAGATTTGCAGATGCTGTCTCTTTGACATAAACAAGTGGCAGACAATTGCCTCCTGGAATAAAGCTGTGAGAGACTATGCAAAACAATACTCACAAATCATTTCTTTATCCATAAGGCACCAGTCTGCTCAAACCCCAGTTGGGATACTATTGACTGATCTGCTGTGAGCATTCATTTTTTTTGCAGGGAACTGAGATTTTACTGTTGGAGCACAGATTTATCAATTGGCTCTTTACAATCTCCCTAGTCCCATTTACAGTTCATCCAGACTTTAGTTTTTCATACAGGTGAAAACTAAGAATTGACCATCAAACACACAATAATTAATATTTGAAGTCTGAACTTACCTAAAATTCTACTGGAAACAAGGCCAGTTATTAAAAAGTAATCCTAATTTAACCTCTAGGTTTTAATACATTCCTAGAAACAAATTTTGTTACATGATACTGTGAGACTAAGATTGAATCTTTATTTCTTTGACAACTACTTCTGAAAATAAAATGAATTCTACATTACTAAGAAGAACAGTAAGCATCTGAGTAGTGCTGCACT